ATTCATTGGGAAATACAAAAACCTTCATTATAAGGAATAACAATAATATTTGGTTTCCAGCTGACGTTCATGTAGTATTCAGTTTAAACTAGATATTTTTCCACACAAAATCTACACAAATTTTAATAGGCGAAACTCTACTTGGTTACAGGATTTTCATCATGAGCTGACATTGGTTAGAGAACCATTGGAAAACCTGGGAGTTCTGGACAGATGTTTCGTCCTAGTTTGGGACTCTTCATCAGTATGCACCCACCGGGGTTCGAACCCAGAACCTTCTGGTTACAAGGCGAACTCGTATACCATTAAGCCACTGGGACCCGATCCAATGGCCCATGAATTCTAACTTCTGCCAAATTACGACATAGCGCGACCCCTAGCCAATGTCTTCGGCGAGTATTTGTCCTCACACCCGACCTACTGCACCCTACTGGTCACGACCTCCCGCTAGAACCCCAGATAACTATCTACCTGAATAGGGCAAGTCGCTAGTGAGCATCTCATTGATATTCAAGTGTCCAGTACTCCCAGGTTTTCCAATGGTTCTCTAACTAATATCAGCTCATGATGAAAATCCTGTAACCAATCAAATCCCTACAAACCAACATTTGGAAACTCTACTTGCTTTTTTGTAGTGACCGCCCAATTGATCGACTTCTCGTTAGAAGCAGAAGTAACTTGAATACTGAATGTTGGCTAATGTTTTCTCAGTTCCTTAGAGGTCACGGGTACTGCAGAGATACTTACTGATTCCCTACAAAGACTTAACTTATTTCGTTATGCTGTATCTATGCTCATCTAAATCACGTATCTCAGCACTTCCATTGTCTTGTAAGAGGCGACAGCTCCACAGAAATTCCTTTTCATAAAACTACAGTTTCTTGGTGATTATATCAGTGAAACAGTTATACAGCGCATAAGAAATTCAGCAGAGGCAGGGCCTCTCTTCATTGAACTATTTGGGTTCCGATTGACTTTTGTGTAGATGTATGTTTTTTCACATAATAGCTACAGGAATTTTAATAGTTGGACCTGGACTTTTTTATTGGTCAGACCGTTCTATCAGGTCTTATTGGCCGAATGGTCTACAAACTTGCCTTTTAACCAGAATATCCTGTGTTTGAAATCTGGCGGGTTCGTACTGATAAAGAGAGTACCAAATTAAGATGAAGCAGCTATCCAGTATTCCCTGGTTTTCCAGAATTTCTGCAACTCATGTGGTCTCGTGATGAAACCTGTCACCGGTCAAATCCCTGCAAACCAACAGTTGATAATTACTGCCATGCTCACTAGCAAATGGCTCTATACAGTAAGTTACCGACAGTTCGAGTGAGAAGTCATAATCACCGGGGTCCACCAAGTCAGGCAGTTAATTAATTCCAACTTCATACTGGAAATAAAACTCACCTTTTCCAAATTGCACAAATCAACACATTCATAGTTTAAAACAATTAGTTCCCTTTATGAATTTAGATAAAGCAATAAGAAGGCGTGATTTGTCTGAATCGTGTAATGCATTTGCGCAACACATTTCGAACAATCTGATCGCACTCGGACTTGTCATAGGAATATATATGAAATCAATAAAGAGGTAAGAGGTGAGAAAATAGACTTAGGTCAAGTTAAAAGGACATATTCAAGGTCAAAGTAACAATGAAGACCAAGTAAGGGCTTCAGAGCATATTCCTAAATGGCTGCAGAAACAAATGGAATCTTCAGAACCTAGTAACGGTGAGAACAGGGGACCTAGCTCTTCTATTGCAAAACATATTATAGAGACAGGACATAAAATTGATGTTAACAGATCTTTTAAACCTATCTATAAAACGTGTTTGGGGCGTATCCTAAAGTTTGTGGAAGCCATAGCAATTAGAAAGTTTAAGCCACCTTTATGCGTTCAAACACAATTCGTCATCACATTAAACCTTCCTTGGTAAATTTTGTTTTGATACCAGACAGGGTAGATGTACTGTTACCTCTGTTATTTGGCTTAGTGGTCTTCATTGTTACTTTGACTTTGAATATGTCCTTTTAACTTGACCTAAGTCTATTTTCTCACCTCTTACCTCTTTATTAATTTCATGTATATTCCTATGACAAGTCCGAGTGTGATGAGATTGTTCGAAATGTGTTGCGCAAATACATTACATGATTCAGACAAATTACGTCTTCTTATTGCTTTATCTACATTCATAGTTGAGAAAGCTGGGAAAAATTTAAAAGAGAACAATATCTGACGAATAAAAATGTTTTAAATTTAGTGCTTGAACATTGAATGTTAACCAGTATTTCCACAGAGATTCGAACCTGCATCATTATTCCAAATTAGTCTGTTTATTAAACGTATTACACAGTGAAACAGTGTTGTTTACTGGATGACACAGTTTCGAACAAAACTTATTGTTCATAATCATATCATTTGTAGTCACACGACTTCAAAACTTGAGTTTTATAGTTTTCTTTGTCTTCTCCTATTTTTCGTAGGGGTAGTAGAATTTTTCAGATATCTGGGACAGGTGTTGAATCATTCCTATTACACGAATTCTCAGTTAATTCGATAAGCCAAGCTTCTGGTATCAATCTCTCCCTCCACCCAGCTGTTACATTCGATTTTGAAACTGTCATCCTATCCCATCCTATTGTATGGTTGTGTGTAACTGCATGTAGTGCTATAGCTGAACTATTCTCCAGATTTCTTATCTTATTTGGGTCAACTAATCTAGATTTTGCTAGGCTTTTATGCTTCACTAGTCTGACTGCCCTTGTTCTACTAGTTTGACCTATGTATTTGACCTTACAATCATTGCAGGATATTAGATAAACTAAAATGTTTTCTTTGATTGGCTCCACAGGATTGATCCTTTAGCCGACAAAGCATGTTTCTAATTGAGTTTATGGTTGGTTTGAATGCCAGCCACTTTTATTGCTGCCTTTTTAAGAATTCTGAGTAAGGTTTCCGAGTTTCCTTCTTTGTATTCAAGTACTACTGATGATTTAGATTCCTTATTGTTGGTGTTGCCATTATCTTGCGGATGTTTGACACGCACGTCGTCATTAATATTATTATTATTATCACTACTATCATTATTTATTATATTATTTTTATATTTACCTACATACTTTCTGATTAATTTATCAGGGTAATTATTAAGTTTCAAGGCTTCTTTTATGTGTATCACTTCCTGTCTTAGATTTTCCTTGGTACTACTTAGTTTTGCGCTCTGTCGCTTAAACATTTCACCAATCCAATTTTTACTGACATAGGATGGGATGATCGGAAGTCCAAATATCTGTTTGAGTGTGTGGGTTTCCTGTAAACACTAGTGTTTAACTTCCCATCTTCTTTCCTTTTTACGCTGCAATCTAACATTGGAAGCTCATCCCCTTCCTGACTTTCCAATTCATAAGTGAATTGAATTGCCTCCACCTTTGAGTTAATGTGTTCGAAAAACCTATCTATATCTTGTGTTTTAAGTACAGTGAATATATCATCGACATACCTCCACCATACGTTTGCGGTGGGGGGTGGACGTTTCAATCGCTATGTTTTCCCACTTATCCATTAATATATCTGCTACAACTGGGGATATTGGTGATCCCATGGCAATTCCCTCAGTTTGTTTGTATGTCTTCCCCCTGAAATGAACTCATTTCTGACCAAGGACTGCATCATTATGCTGCTCATGAATGACCTCCTCTAAGATTGGATCATAAATTTTTTTAAAATTCCTCATCGGACAGTTTCGGTTTGTTTGCCAATGAGATCATAATATTATATGAGTATATTTAATTAAACTCATGATATTCTCCACTGCAAACCTCAAAAGTGCACAGATGATTATGGCCCATCCGACACTTTTTACCAATTTTCGTGTGTGTGTGTGTGTGGTCACACATACATAGGGAGGAGTAATCGCGCTTTGCACGTGAGGGTGGGAGAGCATATCCCGAAATGGTTAGAAAAACAATTGTGAAAAACCAATAGATATAGGTATCAGACTACCAACTTCGTCTATAGCTAAACATCTAACCGAGATGAACCATAAAATTGATTTTTAACTCAGCCTTTAAGGTCATCTATAAAAACGGTCAAGGGTGCTTATTGAAATACGCCGAGGCTATAGCTATTCATAAACTTAAGCCCACCCCCCCCCTGTGTATTCAAAAACAGTTTATTATTAATCTTAACCTACCTTGGTAATCCTTATTTGATTGGATTACCAAACGTTGTGTTAATCATTCTTAAATCCTTTTTTGTCACTTTGTTTAATTTAATTGCCCTTAATTTTTTTAATATATATCGACTTGACAAGTAAATGTGTGAGGGATCAGATTGTTCGAAATGTGTAGCGCAAATACATCACATTGTTTTTCCGATAATCTCCGTCTTCTCATAACGTTATCCAAATTCTCCGAATAGCTCAATGTTAACGTCTCTGACTGGAACTTTAAGTGATATCGTTTCTAGTCTCCTGGGGGACATCAGCATATAATCTTTGGTAATGGTCGCCAATACGCACAACATGTAACTTCTTGCTGACTCTCAATGATAATAATAATAATAATGCTAGCTATATGCTGGAGATTACATTTGCATACAATACGGAATTTTCACCGTAATTTCTTGTAAAATATGTTTTCCCCTTGTGGAATCTTTATGTACAGTATCCATCAACAGTATGTCATATGACACAGCATTGTTCTGTCTCAGACAAGACCTAATCGTCTACGACACTTTTCCTGGACATTTTCTTCCTGAAGTGACAGAGAAAAGTAGATGTACAAAGCTGGATAGAAATTTAGCTAACCAGGGGAGGGGCGTTAAGAATGTCGCCTATCTCGTATGCTCACCTAAACTATGGTTAAAGTATACTTCTACCATCTAGGTAAATTTATAATACTCATGAGCGCATTCATACATATGATAGATCCAAAAAATAACTGGTAAATAGACTAACTATATGTATACATATTTCCCATTTTCTCTTTTTCCCGCCTAGATAACCTTGTTCTTTGCAGTTCTACCCATCAGTTATCTGATTGGTTTCGTAGTCTCATTGGCCACAGAATCGCCTATGCTAGTTGCTAGATATGTGTTTGGAAGTAAACGACCTTCACCAATAGAAAATTAAAACAAATGTTAAATGGATTCACTAAAACAGAAAACGAAAGAAACGAACAAACAAACAATCTAATCTCTTTTCTACCTTTCATATGATTTGCTATTGTTTTCAATATATATATTTATATTATTTTATATAAGTGAATTTTGTTTTAACGCTATGTTGCAATAAATCCTATTTGTTATAATTTTTAAGCTATTCTTCCATTATTACAGTTTTTACTGTGTACCTTTTCAGTTACGCAACTATCTTTGTTTTTTTCCTGGTAGTCAGAAGATTTCAATGAACCGCCTAATTATTCTGTGATTACATTTAGTTGTATTAGTTACTGTATTTTTTTAAATTTCCTGATCAAAATTCTCAATTTTCTTTGTTTTTTAAAACCCTGTGATATGTATGTACACAAATGATTAGAATATAATTATTTTGTAATTATGTGGAGTGTTTATTAATTTTCATATGTTTCTAGAAGACTGGGATCAGTCATCTGAGGGGTACTTTTGTAGATATTTACGAACCAATCTTGGTAGAACGCCGGTTAACCACATAGGTGGTCCATGCCTGGTTTATGACTCTGGAAAAGAGAGAAGGTTGGGCATGAGGCTAGTAGCCCCCCACCCACTTGAAAGCTGATACACCACCTCTATACTAACTGAGGTTCTAGGCAGCGTCTGGGAATCAGGGGAAGTCCCATTGGGTTGGTGTAAGTCACTGATTATCCCCATATACAAGAAGGGAGACAAGTCTTCTTGTGATAATCACAGAGGGATTAGCTTGACTAATATAGTATCTAAAGTCCTAGGCTCAATAATATTGCGTAGACTAAGTGGTGTTCGGGAGGCACAAACACGAGAAAACCAGGCAGGTTTCAGGCCAGGAAGAGGGTGTATTGATCATATCTTCACCCTCCGACGGATTCTAGAACATAGGCATTCCTACCAGCGTCCAACAATCATTATATTTCTTGACCTAAAGGCAGAATTCGGTTCTGTCGACCGAGAGGTTCTCTGGCGATGCTTGGCTGTGAAAGGAATGCCGAGAAAATACATTGCACTGATTAAGGCACTCTACTCGTACTCATGCAGTCAGCCAGGTGAGGGCTTGCGGCGAGTTGTCATCTGAAGTGGTGACGACTAGTGGCGTCCGTCAGGGATGACCCCTATCCCCATTTCTATTCAACTTCATCATAGACGTACTAATGGACTTAACCCTAACACACTTCAGAGACTCAGGGATTGACTTGCTATTAGGGAATAATCTCGTTGACTTAGACTATGCAGATGATATAGTCCTTCTAGACGAGGACGCTGACAAAATGCAGAGTCTTCTGAACACTTTGAGCAACAATCTTCGTATGTTTGGCATGCGATTCGCCTATCCTGTAAAATGTAAGATGATGTTACAGGATCGGATTACACCGACTCCTAGATTTTAAATGGGAAGTGAAGTGGTATAGCACGTTGACCGCTTCACTTACTTGGGAAGTACCATCAACCCCAACAGGTTGATCTCTGACGAAATCTCTGCATGAATACAGAGGGCTAGTTTCGCATATACCAGTTTACGCCGTCTCTGGCTTAGACGTGATATCCGACTACCGACCAAAGGGCGTGTGTACTGCTCATCAGTCCGCTCCATCCTCCTTTATGGCTGTGATACCTGGCAATTGAGAGTGGAGGATATGAAAAGGTCAGCTGTCTTTGATCATAGGTGCCTGCATTCTATCTGTCGTGTGTAGTGGTATAATAAGGTGAGCAATATTGAGGTCGGGCATCGGTAGAGTGCACATATGTGCAAAGTTCTATGTCGAAAACAAACAGACAGACACCACCTCTGTAACGACTAAAACCGACTTGTTGTGGTGTGGAAGCAGGATACCCATCTTTGCTTTCTAGTGTACAGCTGGCTGAAACCTCTTTGAGTTACTACTCACAGTCAAAAAATGCCCCAACAGCAGCAAAAAGCGGTTATTTGCAATAGAATCTGAGGTTCTCAACGATGCTGTTAGGCAGATATACAGATCTTATAGGTTTTTGAATACAGAACTAGCATTTAGAATCAACAGTATGCACTGGATCAGATAACTACAAGGAAAGAACATGCACCAAACGCTTCCTTCGGGCAGACCGAGGTCAGAATCACCTTGAGTGAATCAAACAAATTTTGCAGTCACACAACCATAAAGAGAAGCAGTAGAATTAGGGATTAAACAGAAATGATAACAAATAATAAGAACTGGGTCAATAGATGATACGCAAACGTTGGGACAATCATATATAACTTATAAGAAAAGACAAAAATAATTACAAAGTCCAGGAGTACTGGTAGCTGTTTCGCCAGTCTAGTTCGAGACTCTTCATCAGTATACACCCACCGGCAGGGTCCGAACCCACGACCTTCTGGTTACAAGACGAGCCAGCTCGTAGACCCGGACCAATTGCTTGCCCATGAATTCTAACTTCTACCAATTTACGACATAGCGTGACCACTTCGCAAAGTCTTCTTCGATGAGTTACTGCCTCACCTTTAACGTGCTGCACCCTACTGGTAACGGCTTCCCACTAGAACCTCAGGTCACTCACTGCCTGAATAGGGCCAGTCGCTAGTGAGCATCAGATGTCAGCTCATGATGAAATCCTCCAATCGACCAAACTAGATCCCTACAAAAACCAAGTCCCAGTAATTATCAATATTGCAATTAGGTCGTTCAGGAGCGATTTTCTATTTTTCTTCACAACTACTAACGAAACTTCAAAGCTTGAAGCCATAAATTCTACTCAGGATTAAGGGAATGGAAAACAATCACACTGTCAGCAGCTAGTGTACAGCATAAGGACGCATATGTCACAAGTAGATATGACGTTCATAGGTAAAGGAGAAATCACCTGGTCCTGGATAGTTTTCTATATTGCACCAACGTGGAGTAATTCTTGGTTGTCCATCAACTGATCGAGGGGTTTCCTGTACTTCAAAATCAGTTACCTTCCCTTGAAATCATGAAAAACTCTTTTAAGAAATGATCTTCAAATTTACTTGTTTTCTGCATATTTGCATTGGTTGAAGTATAGATAGCCCTTTGTATAACTTGATAAGCATTGTGTGTTAACCATACACTGTCTAGAAGGACGACGAAAGATTTGCAATTAAGTCAAGCAGCTCAGAGAACACAACTGTTTCAGAATCATCCACCTGAGATACGAATCTTCTCCACTATTCTCCATTATATTAGATTCATTTGATATGCTGCTAAGGAGGTGTTAACAGTTCGTACAAACATATACATATTCAAAAATAATTCCTGTCTCACTTGACACCGGTATGATGTTATTACCTAGTCTCAATCCGCAGACGCTTCATAGGTCGAATGAATTTGACAAAGCATTGGAAATAAATCTAGATGATTGTATCATGAAGTGACGCCGGTTAGAGAACCAATGGAAAACCTGCAGGGAGTACTTACTGGACAGTTGTTTCGTCCCAGTACTTGGGACTCTTCTTCATCAGTACACACCTACACCATGGAGTCTGAATCCACGACCTTCCGGTTACAAGGTGAGTTCGTAGACCATTCAACCACTTAGACCCGATCCAATGGCTCACGAATTCCAACTTCTGAAGAATCATGGGCTAGGACGAAACAGCTGTCCAGTAGTCCTCACAAGTTTTCCAATGGTTCTGTAACCGACGTCATCATCTCATGATGAAATCCTGTAACCAATCAATCAAATTCTTACAAACCAGCAATTAAATCCAGATAGAACGCATCCGTAGAAAGTGTCTGTCTAACACAGAGTGAAACTGTATTAATAACTTGATGGCATTTCGAACACAATTCATTGTTGATGGACATATGAATATTTTTCCGCGGCTTAATATCTTGCTTTATATAGCTTAACTCACTCCTGAGTTTTAATGCAACTTTTAATACATTCAGGATAAGGGTTGTGTCAGTTCTGTTGCATGCATTTAGTGTTGACTTCGGTGAACAGAGAGAGATTCGGTGAACAGACACATTCTCTCCTTTGATATTTTCAAGCTATCCTACCTCTTTATGTGACAACACGCAAGTGCACACATAACTATGGCCAAACTTCGTGGGCTTTAGGATCTTATAGACTTAAATGGGCAAAATAATATATAATTTATCTAACACTATAACTTTTCTATAATAAGAATACGACTGTACAGCTTAAAAAATGAATTCTTTTGAAAGAAACACTTCTTCGGCTTAGTAAAAGTTTAACAAAGTTGTTAGATCTTAAAACCTTTTTGTTAGTCTCAGGTTTGTACACGGAACGTTGAATCCTTCTACGGCTTTTTGGCAATATGTTCTAAATACTCACCAGTTTCTTTATAGTTCTTAAGTGTTCGTTTGTAGGGATTTGATTTGTTTAGCGTTTGAGCACGGTTAGATGTCAGTAATAAAACCAATAAAAACCTCCTGGGAGTACTGGACAGCTGTTTGTTCAAGTTTGCGACTCATCGGTAGTACTCATTCAATGGGTTTCAATGGCTTTCTAAATGATATCTTAATCAGTGATCACACTTCAAACAAACTCTTGGAAATTAATCTTATGATGGATAGTAACAGAGGGAAGTTTCCTGGAGTTCTAGTGAGAAGTCATGATCAGTGGGATGCACCTGGTCGGAGAGCGAGGACATATATACTCGTCGACGACACTGGCTGTTGTCTAATTGGGTCAACCCACAGGGTCCTTTAACTTACAGAATTTGTTCTACCTGAATGAGTTTGTAGGTTTAAATGCCACTCTAATTCCTGCTTTATTAAGAACCTCACGTAGGGTCTCAGACATCCCCTGCCTTATAATCTTCCTTATTTGTGTAAACATTATTAGTTTCACCATTATTTTTGTTTTGCTTTTGACCTTTTCTTATCTTCCTGATGAATTTTATACGATAGTTATTCAACACCAACGCTTCTTCTTTTATCTGTTTCATTTCATCATTTAGGCTTTTTGTTGTACTACTTAATGCTACTGCTCAGTTTGTTAGACACTTGACTAAGCCTGCCTTAACAGACAACGCACGGATGAGATGAATTAAAGTCTAAATATCTATTAGCAGAAT